AGAGGGAGAGAGAGAGATATATCCTTTTTCTCTATGTATAATGTTGACATAAGTTTGACTATGTGACCCATTTATTGTGACAAATATATCAAAAAAACAAACATCTGTAAGGAACAAACAAATACCTTTTCAGCAAGAATAGAGCTTTTGTTTTCAGTGCGTTCAGACAAAGGTTTTCCGCCTGCCTCCTTGGCAGTCTGTGTTGCTTTAAAACCTATTTGAAACATTGCTTTGATTACCCATTCTTCCCAAGTCCTCAAGAAAATAACAAACCTAACCAGAAAAAAGCAGTGGAGTTAGGTTGTCTTTAACTTCCTGTGTTCTTGGGTCCTTTTTTTTTTCCAGCTTAATTTTTCCAGAGACATGAGACTGAATAATCTGCAGCTGGGAACTGAAATTGCTTTGTCTGTCATCTTGTGTTATTCACACGTCCTCTGAATGAAGTGGGTGTGGTGACATGTTCGCTGTTCTCATGTACATGTTTTGTGTGGAACTGATAATGACATCAAGGCTATTCTGATGAAACAACTAAAGTAAATTAGACTGGTTTATCTGTACCTACAAATTATACAGCCAGAGGCCAAGCATGGTTGTAATACTAAAGATTAAAGTCTGCTTTTATTGTTTCCTAACTGCGGAGCTAATTTCAGCTGGTTTAAGGGCATTGGAGCTGCCTTTACACTCTAACGGGACACATTTACTGCTTCCACAGTCTCCATTCTGCTTTCTTAGAATAGTTGCTATATAGCTGACTCAGTAGATCATATAGTAAGGGTGTCCTTAAGCCACACACAATGTGAGCTATCATGATTTGAGTAATGGGATATGTAATTGCTTAATTTCATGCATTAATGTAAAAGAGAAATTCATTGTAGAGGGAAGATTTACAGAATTATATCCGGCAGTGATAACCATTGGCCTACAGTTATTAAAATGATATCATAGCATGTACATGAGACATCAAATTTCCATTCAGACATTAAATGTTTAAAAGAACATTAGTTATTAGCAATTCCCCTGCTTTAGCCAGAGGGGATATTTGAGATAGAGTTCTGAAGTGATGTGATAGATTCACGCAGACTTCAGGAGATTGAATACTAGCTGGTATGCACAGAAATCCTTGATGTAATGTAAATGTAAAAAGCACTCAGAAACTCATGGAATTTGCTGGTGAGCTTAAAAAAAACTCTGCTTTAAGCCTATTGTTAAAATGATGATTCATCCTCTATACTCTCTGTACTTACTGCTCTTATTCATGCCGGTACCTCTAAGAATTATATTCTGTGCTGCTTTTTTTTTTTTTTTTTTTTACAATATTGCATAAAGGTTAATATTAATGAGGAGATCCATTGCTTTGAAATAATTGTGGTCATTGCATTATTTTTCAGCAATACAGGTCATTTAGTACAAAAAAATTCTTCCATATCTGAGAACAATATTTATTTTCTTTTGCACATATCTACAAACTCCAACCATAGAAAGTACTCTTACAGTTGATTTATTGGTAATGGATGTGATTTAAAAGCTTAAAAAATAAATTAATATTCTCAAAACCTCTCTCAGTTCAAAGACATGAGGAGAATATCGTACAATAAAAATGCAAACATTTGTTAGGGGAAATAAGTGTAGAAAAAAAACGCCACAATTACTTGGTTGCATAACCTTTTGACCTTTAAATTATTCTTTGTTTGGGCACTAGTTCTATTAAGTTTCAGGATTCTGTTTTCTTCAGCATTAGTCGGTCCATATCCAGCATCTTTGCTAATTCATTGATCAATATCTAAATATCCTATTACGCTAAAATTTTCCAAATAACCTAAATTTTAAGAACCTCTATTTTCTCAAGCCCTATTTTAGAGACGCCCAACATTTTCTGTCAGATTTAGTTCAGTCTTTTAGTTCAGAATCTAATGAGGTTATTTTTATGTATTCTTGTACTAAGAGTAAAGCGTAAAAAAAAACATAAAAATTAACAATTTAGCTCTCCGGAAGATTTTTGGTTTAAACTATTAAGGAAGGCACAGAATTTGACCCAAGTTTACCAAAACATAAATTTAATGTTGAAACAGAAACCTTAGAGAATAATGTTAAATGTAGGCTCTGTGTCTACAGCTTGAAGCTTTCTCTCTCCGATTGTTTTTCCTGAAAAGAGATCACTCTTTAAATAACGCTTCACAACTTATAGGTGTTAAATAACCATGAGATATGACAACAGATTTTGATAGAAATTGTAATCTTACTCAGATCAGAGAAGTTGCTTAGAGTTACAGAAGGCAGCGCTCACCAGCTGGCATCACTTTACGGGAAGTGGCCCTGATTAACAGTTAAAAAGGCATTATATGCATCTCCAGTCTGCCACATCATCACTTTTTACATCATACACGTTTGCAGATGAGGAGACATCCATGGTTCCAGCCTTATCAAAATATTACACTTTGTTCTAGCTGAAGGACACCGCTCTCATTCCGTTCCCAAATATTTGCCATGTACAGACTGAAGATTATAACTGTATATTCGGACAGAGGAACTGTCCTAATTACATAAACTACTGGGGACAACATCAGTTCTGCCACGCTACAGGCAGCTAATATTAAGCTGTAATAAACTCACACATCATCAATGATAATTATCCTAACAATTCCCCTGAATAGGTGACGTTTATAATGTCACCTTTAAAAAATTCCATTGATGTCTTTTCATGACAAAAATATTTAAATAGAAGAAAAACTAAGCACTGTTTCTTTCAACATCATAGAATCATGGAATAAATAATCAAAAGTCCCCCTGATGATGTAGCATTATCAGGGATAAAAAAGAAACACAATCAAAATTTCCCAGACCCAAAATGTCACGCAAGACCACAGTTTCAACATTTAACTACAATTTATTTCTTTTAGGACCCCATCAACGCAGAGACGAAGATAGTTTTTTATTTAAGCTGTACATCCAAACAAATGCAGCCTTTTGGTAAAGCAAAAGTGATCAGTTTTGTAACCAGGTCCCGAAACAGAAAAAAAAAAACAGAAAACGCTGATTTTATGTTTCAGTGTATAAAGAAGATCTTTTCTTAAGAATGTCGCAGCTCAACGTATCTCTGCGATTCGCATGCAACATTTGACCGTGTCACTACTCAATCCATCCCAAAAGCACTATCTGTACCATCAGCTCAAAGGGCGACAGTGGTGTCGGATGTAGGAGTTTGCCCTGAAATCGAAGGATTGATGGTTCCAGCCCCGGCTCCGACTTTCAGTGTCGTTGTGTCTTTGGGCAAGAGACTTCACCTGCATTGTCTACTGATAAGATAAGATGAGCTGGTCAGAGAGCCCGTACGGCAGCCTCGCTTCTGTCAGTGAGCCCCAGGGCAGCTGTGGCTACAATGTAGCTTGCCACCAGCAGTTTGTGAGTGTAAAGCGCTTTGGTCAAATCTCCTGGCTTGAAAACGCACTATATAAGTACAGGCTATTTTCTATTTACCATCAGCTCATTTGTGAATGCACAATCAGATACTGTACATCTGGGTATCGATAAAAATTTTTATTATGGTACTAACATTACTTTTTTCTGTCCCTAACTCAGTAAAGAATGCTAATACACATAATTCAAAAATGTTTTATGACTTTTCTGAGGCAATTTTATGCTCTTTAGATTTTCTCTGTTAAACTGCTTGTGAGACATCATCGGACATTCTCTGAGTAGTCCATGTCTATCTACATTATAGTTTTTTTTATTTCTTTAGATTATGCACTGTATACCATAATTTTTACAAAAAAGGAAAATATTAAATCTGAAAGAATAGATTTATCTTTCAATCCAAAGCCGAAAAGTTTAGCTCCTGGAAGTAGCGTAGGATCCCATTTCTTCTACAGATTGGTCACAGACGAGTGATAAAACTGAAATTTTAAATCATTTATTTTCTCGGGAAATACATTGTCAACCTTTAACACATCATAGTTTATTATTCTTACTAATTTTTGGGGAGGAAAAAATGTAATTTAGGTCTTTTTTACAAAATAAAATCAAGGGCGACCCGGATGTATATCTGGTTGCGCATGCGTAAATGAGCTGATGGTACGGATTGTGCGCCTGGGATAGATTGGGTAGTGACAGACCGCCATGTCGCCGTTAAATCTGCACGAACTGTCTGCGCATGCCCAGAGCTTTTATCAGCTGTTTAGGCGTGATGCTGGGACTGTCACAGCGCCACCAAAGGGTCCAGTATATGTACTACAGTGTGTCCATTGATGCTGTACACACGTGTGGAAACAACTGCTTTTAAGCTGCTCATGAAAAAAAAGTTTTCGTCCTCATGAGAACTAGACCTAAGTGCCAAAATGTGACTTACCTTGATCTAGCTTTCCAAATCAAAATAAAGCAAACAAAAAAATATATATAATTTTTACTGCTACATTTTGGGGTATCTAAGAGAAAATATTGTAACTTTTTTTAATAGAGATGCATTAGATAAAAGAAGGCTCTGAATGAAGCACTTGTTTTATCAAGCAGCTAAAATGCTGGTAAATTAATACAACCATTAGTTCACGTGCTGTTTTATAGAGCAATCAACTATTGCTAAAGATGTTCTCATTGAGAAGTGGACTAGCTACATGCTTCCAAAAAGTATAACTTAGCAATTTTAATTGGTTTTGGATTATAAAATATATAACACTCTTTCATATATTTGTCTCATGGTTCATTGCAATATAATCTCTGCAGGTGCCGTTATTTGTGTTAACGAAATGTTATGCAACCTGTAGTGCTAGGTGCATCTTATTTTGGCATTTGCTCAATAAGTAATAACTTTCGGGGACAAGCATACTGGCAGCATTGGCCTACCTGGAGTAAGTTATGGTTTCAGACCATTGAGAAGGCAAATTGCTGACGGAAAAAAAGAAAAAAAAAATAATAAGCTAAGAAGCAATAGAGATTCCTGGGGACTGTTGGTGTTTTCATTATATTTTGCTTAGTCTTCATTTTCTATCGATGGGTGCTTCTATTTGCATCATAAGATGGTTCAGTGCAATGGTGTCATGTTTGATTCCAAGCGGGTTTGAAAGCATAGCTTCCCCCAGCACATTGCCTCCAGTCAGCCACAACATACAAAAAAAAACTGCTTGGAATGCAATTTTTTTTAAATACCGACTGCAGTGTCTTAGAAAATGTTTCGACAGTGTTAACACCACAGTCTGTACGGTGTAGTAAAACAAAAAGCCATTGTTTCCTTTTTTTCCCCTCATGCTGGAACAATATCTGTTGTTTCACCAGATAATAGTCAACCTTCTAGATAAGCTGCGTATGTAAATACTATTTATCATACATAGGTGGCCAATGACCTTTAAGGTGGATTTATAGTCATATATGGAAGACATTTTCATCCAGAATGTTATAATGAAACGAAAGGTTGCATTGCTTTTGTATTAATTTTGTATGGGTTTATCCTTGATGTTAGATATTACAATATCGTCCCTATATTTTTAAGAATCATTGTATTTTAGCTTATACTTCTGAATCATATATCCTTTACACCTGGGTAGTTGTTTTTGTTAAAAATGCATTTGTCAAGAGGGGATATCACTGATAATTTATCAATTTGCTGTGTGCACAGCGTGTGAGTGCCTACCCTGCTCAAACAATAGAAAGTAATAGGGCCCAGTGAACCTGCAGCCTTAAATTGGCCCTGGAGCTTCGAAGCTGACATTTACAGTGCAAACAAACACAGGCTTAAAGGAAGGCTTATCTGTCCCGCTTGAAATAGCTTGCTCTATAGGGAACGCGGCCATTCTCTAAGTACAGGGCTCAAAACAGCCCACTCATATTAAATTGAGTATTTATTGGCTAACAACTCTCCCTACATGTCAATGTCAAACAACAGCTTAATGGCAGAAATTATAGCTTTGGTCCTGTACTTGGGATTTTGGTATAATTTATAAGGTGTCTCAGGGCTCTGTGATTGTCCAGCTGTCTAATATTTGTTTTTACGTTTTTCTAAATGTTTCTTTGTACCATGCATATTTAGGAGGGTTTCTTGTAGAACAGTAAATAGATCCTGGGAACATATATATTTAATCAGTCTCCATATGATGCCCTCTGTAGTTTTGAGGATCATTTTCCCACCTTGCCCAGGGTAAAAGTGCTCATATTCCTTGAATTCTCTCACCATTTTTCACATTGCAAGCTTAAAATGTATGCATTCTTATATTATGATTTAAGACCAACACAAATGTGTAGGTAATTAAAGCAGAGAGAGGATGTTTTTGTTTCTCCCATAGTATTTTGTATAAACATCTTAACTGCGAAGATTTGGGGTGAATCTTAATATGTTTACCTCCAGGCATTTTTCCTCCTTATACAAGAGAGCACAGTAGCAGCTATATGGGATAAATAATGTATGTTAATATAAGTTTTACAACACATATATATGGTTTGATCTAAACAAGTCCTTTTTTAATCCTGGCTGTATTTTTTATTTTTTTTTGTCATTGTCCATCTGGAAGATAAACCTGGGTCTCAGTCTAGTCCTGAACAGCCTCTAATAGGTTTTCTCCCAGAAAGGCCCTGTATTTAGTTCCATCCATTTTCCCGTTAACTCTGTCAAGGATTCTGTTAAAAAGAAAAGCCCTCATCATCAACTCATCAACACAGCTAGGTCTTTATTCTGTCAAATGATTTCCTAAGGAAATTTGTTGATTTCATTTAGATGTATTGAGATAAATGGGGATAGATGATCATGCATGCTGTTTTTGTTTGACTTGAGTTAAAAATAAGGTTGCTCTTTTCCTTTACTTCACAATTAAGCCATACTTTGTGTTGGTCTATCACACAATATAAAACAATATAAACTGAAAACTGAGCAAATGGGAAGACCTTTAAGGGAAGGTGTTTACTTTTGAAACAGTTAATTTTATGTTGAAGAAATAGTGATGTTGTTAAGAGGAAAAGGTCTTAAGATGCCATGTGCAGTGTGGTGCAAAGTTATGTGTTCTACTTTTTACAATAAAGTTCTATTCATCTTTACATTCTACCTGTACACATAGATGGTGTGTTCAAAATATTTTATAATGCAATACAATATCCTATAATCATTTTAGTGCTTAATTTTACCCACCATCCTTATTTTACAAAGCCATGCTACAGAACTGAATGCATTTATAATACAGTCACTATTTCAACTAAATATAAGGATATTTTTCCAAGATGTTTCTTTTCCCCTCCCAGGGCAGCAGGAGTCAGTGGCTACCTTTAAAGGCAATGAGTTCTTCAGCTACAACCTGTCCACAACTCCCATTCAGAGCAGTCTGGATGAGATCACGCTGTCCTTCCGCACCCTGCAAAGAAATGGCCTGCTGCTCCACACGGGAAAGTCAGCTGATTATGTTAACCTGTCGCTGAGAAACGGAGCTGTGTGGCTGGTGATAAACCTGGGCTCCGGTGCCTTTGAAGCCCTGGTGGAGCCTGCCAGTGGAAAGTTCAATGACAACGTTTGGCACGATGTCCGAGTGACACGCAACCTTCGACAGGTGTGTATGCATTGTCTATGCTAAGTTGAAAGAGTTGGTTTAAGATGTAGGCTAGATCAGAATCTTGAGAGCTGAATGGACTCTGAGAAAAGTCAGATTTCTGAGAAAAAAATTAGAATTCTGACTTTTTTCACATATCATACTGAAATAAAATAAAAAAATCTGTTACTTTTTTTTTCTTCCAGTGGCTCTAATCCTCTTCCGTATAAAAGGGATCTAGGGTTGGTTGGAGGTTTCTTAAAAAAAAAAAAAAGAAAATACAAAGTCCAGTCAAGATTAAACATTTTACCCAATTTTACCTTTTGTTGCAGGAATTTATTTTACTAAAAGTTAGTGTTTGGATCATACATATTAAAACCAATAATACAACAGAAGCTCAGAGACAGGTAATGTTGTTTATTTATTTAAAAGCAAAAATATCAGTCCAGGGTTTAAATAAATGTCATATTTATTTTTAAATGATGCAATCTTAAATATAAATTGTGTTACTAAAACACTTGGATTTGAAATCTTTATACATAATATCTCTTTGTTATAAATGTTTTTACATTATGTAGCTGATCCTGATCCTTAAAAGCAAGTTTATTGTCAGCCAGAAAATGTCAAGCTACATTGATGCCTTTTTTTGTAAGCAAAGTGCAATATCTTCTTCAGCAATGGTGTTAATGGGCCTTTACAGTACAGGGACAGTATGACATTTTCTGTAGAGTGCAAAAAATGCTGACATATGTTAATAATTTGTTGCCAGTAAACCTGTTATATTATTTCAAGCGTTGTTGTTTCAAAACAGGTTAAATATTTGCATACTGAAAGTTAGTGAATGTGTGGTTTATTAATGATATGAAGTACTCCCTTTGAGAATAATTGACAGGGAAGAAAATTGGCAAAAATGAGTCTACCATAATATTTGTCATGGTTTCTGGTAAAAATGCCTAAAAAGTTGAAGGTAGCGAAAAATATATATATATGAAAGACAGATCAAGCTCACAGGAGAATCACAGGCTGTGCAAGTCACGTAAACAATCAGGAAGCTCCCTGTAGTGACTAAGATTATGCTCACACAGAAGTTAAATTCAACCCAAATACAATCTTTTTGCCCACATGTGACACATGTGACTCTTTTATTACAGTTTAAATGGTCAGATTCCAATCATTTCAGCTAAAGAAAAAATGTTTAGCCACTTTTCTATGTGGTACTAAATCAGATAAGTGTCTGATAGTTTTCAAAGTGTATTTCATCGAATGTTTGCCATATTTCAGCTTCCCACTACACATTCAAATGGATTTTTCCACAGAAGTAGCACTTAATGCTCTATTTCAAATGATTGTTAAGTTATGTACTCATTTTTTCTTACCTTTATTGTGTTATGATGTGGTCATAATATTCTCAGCTCCCATTGCTAAACAGGTGCTACAACAGAGACACCTGTATTCACTATTCACTTTTTGATAAAGATCTTTTAAACAATTCTTGTAAATCTAGTATTTCTTCCATAAACAATGTGCTACTGTGTGAGTTGCCCACCTCTGTGAACATGGGTTCCATTGAGGTGAGCAATTTAAATAGATATATGGGGCTTTGTCTAGTTGGTAACATGACTGACCACTCAAAAAAATCAGATTTTAGACAAAAAATTCAGAGCCAAGCATCACGAGCTGCTCTGTGAACGTTTCCAAAGAAACGTGGAGCTTAAATACTTAGCCGGCTACAATATGACAAAGGCAAAGAATGAGCTAATCAGAAAGAATATGGAGCAGCTGGTGCAAAATGGACTGGAGAAAGACACTAATTAACAGGAATAGAGCTAAACAGAAAGAAAAATAAATATTAAACCATGGGTAAAAGATAGAAAGATAGAAAATAAATAAATTGGGTCAGCATTCAAGCGCTAAGTTTCTTGCTCAGAGTGGCAGTCTGTGTTTTGATGGTCTGGGAAAGTTTTCTTGAACCAAAGCCCCTGTTCTATAACCCTCAGATCACCGCTATCCATCAAAAGAGAATTCCAATTCAATTCAACTTAAAACATACTTAATTAATCCCAAAGGGAAATTAAATGTTGTAGATACTCATCCGTTGTTTTTCAACAAGTTCTTGGAGATGTTAACAGCTATGTGCCAGATAGATCTTCTGTAACAGCCTGTCTTGCACTGGATCAGGAGAAGCCTTTGACTGAAGATATCTGTTGGTGTTGAACAGTATGCTGGTGAAGATTCTCAGTCATCCAGGTCATAGCCATTCCAAAAAAGTTGTTTTAAAGTTTAGTGGTTTGTTTAACAGTCTTCAGAAGAGGATGCTAACTGAAGGCCATAATGTTCTGCGGCTGTGCTTGTTCCTAAACTGAAACTATTTATAAAGGTGTTCAGTTCATTAATTGGGTCTGTCCAGACCTCCGTCTGATCACCCTTCTGTTTAAAACCCTTTAACATGTCTGGGTGACACCGTCTGTTGTTCACAAGCACTGCCAGCTCACCTCTCTCAAAGGGATAGTTCAGGTTTTTGGGCATGAACTTGTGTGAAACATTCACCTTTTGTTGCTGAGATGTAACAGTGTCCCTAACGTCACTCAGCCTCCTGCTAAAAGAAATGACCGGTAAGGTCCCTGACAAAAAATGACTGTGTATAGGGGCGCAAAAAAATCAAAGTTTGTAATACTAGCAAAACTATGCATGTGTTTTATTAGACTATTTCAACTATTTTAAACACCCTATTTCCGATATGCCAACAGTTTTGTCAGACCTTGATATCGATTAGGACTATTTTTTGGCCGCTATAACTCTGCATAGGTGCCGAAGAGAATTCTATCCTCTTGTGCTATTACTAGCAAGCTTTTGCTTCTTGTCTGATTTTGACCACCTTGAAACTTGCCTGGCCAGAAAAGCAATCCGCACGGCCGGTGAAAGGATCCTATATAGACAACAGGGGGAAGGTGAGATGTCGTTCTGTCAGGGGCAGCGGGAAATCAGTGCTCCAGAATGCTGTCTTGTCTTCCTTCTCTTGCCTATAGTGAATCGCCGGCGCTTCTGTACCTATTTGCAGGAACCATACGTTACATGCCGTTTCTCATAGCAGGAGGCTTGGTGATGGTAATGGCTGTTACATCTCAGCCGGTTAATTTTTAACACAAGTTCATTTCCAAAAATCTTAACTCTCCTTTTAAGTTTTCTGGCCTTCTTTAAATCTCTGTTTATATCGCCAGAAAACCTTATAGAGAGACGCTGGATCTCACATTGTCCATAATGATGGAAGGAAGAGATGACTTGTATTTCCTGCTCCTCTCTCTTCTCCTTCCTCTTATTCTGCATCCACTGTGCCTGATTTCAGCTCAGCTGTTATGATATAAATAAGCTACTTCCAGGTAAAAAAACCCAAAAAACCCACCTAATTTTGGTTGCTATGGTTACGCACCATAGCAGATATCCAAAATGGAAAAAATACTGGCAAAAATCCTTCCTGTTACACAGCATCAAGCACCAGAGGCAACAAACATAGGGAAAAATAAACTCGGATCCACAAACAGAGGAACTGAAGTTCACTTAAAAACAGAGCTCCAAACTGCAGCCATCTTATTAGTGTAATTCTAGAAATGAAACCCAAAAATCTTTAAAACGTAACAATATTTCCCATAAAATAATCTTATTGTTTTTTTTCTGTAAACCTATTATATTCCGTACCATGTTTATTGATCTTTGTAATAAACAGGAATTTTTAATAAAGGCAAACATATTTTTTATGTCACCATTTAATCATCAACAATATGTTCTCAAAGTGTCACAAAGCTAGTGTGTATTGCATCCTCCTCCACATCTATTTCTTTGCCCAAGCTTCCAGAAGAGCTGCAATCCAATGCTAGCCACGTCACTTACGCTTTCAGGCATGCATTTGATCCCTGTGTAAATTGCTTTCCCTTCAGATAAGTTACCTCGCTGACATGTAGATAGGGAGAACTGCAACTCCCCAGAGACTGTGGGTGGAAACATTTTATTAAATCCTGTGGTGCTTTTGAGGATAGAATTCCCTCTTATTACTTTCTTCGACTTTTTTTTCCTTTTTTCAGTGTCTCTGTCATGGCTGAACAGGTTTTGGTTCATCCCTAACCTTATTTTTTTCCATTTGTGTGCAACTGTGCTCACACCATATAGCACAACTAGTACTAAAATTCTCCATCAGGGGTCACTGTCAAGTTTCTGCGGCCCAGTCTGAAGCGTGGCTATAACTGTGAGCTTCAAATTAATCATGGCCCAGTTTAGCACCTCTCCTTAAATGCATTGATTCCTTAACCTAGTTATCTTGAGCAGTTTAGGTGTTACTGTATCTATGTGCTTGCACATGTTATGGTGTCATACCACAGAATGGTCATGCTGGTTTATCTTTGTCCAGAAAATAAGAAAGCCACATCAATCAGTTTTAACCACAGACACCCTTTTCTTTCTGAAAGTTCCTTATTTTCCAAATCATCCATGTAAAGCCTTTTTACTGTGAACAACTTTCAGATGAGTTACAGTAGATACACACAAATCACTGTAGAATAGAGAGTAAATAAGAATACCTTTATTTCATAAAGATTAAAGCTGAACTTGCCATATAAGGTCATCATTTTTTCCTTACTTTTACAAAACAGATCCATGCATGACACCTTGTTGGGTAAAAAGTTTTCCCTTTGAGATTAAGCATTCTGTTCATATTTATTGAGCCTTCAGGCATTTTATTATTGTTTATTCTGAATGACCATTAGATTTATTCTTAACTATATACACATAGTTGTGACTCCTGGTAACAATCAGCAATTAATTTTTTTTTTCCTGTTTTTTTTAGGAGCTTTTTTTTTTTTTTTTTAACATTTTGCAATTTTACAATACTTTAGCAGATTGATTTGGTTGTAAGAAATAACCTTTTTGCTTTTACAAAATAACAGTATTTGAAATGTTCAGCACCCTTTTGAAAGCAGTGATATTTTACTGTAATATTGTTCATTATGAGATATCGCATACATAAAAAGATTTTGGACAAATCCTCTAAACACAATTTATAAACACATTTATTGGTTTTCTCTCCAGATCACTGAGCAGATTTTCTGTAATGTTTAAGGACTGAGACTCCATGAGAAAAGCTTTCCTAATTTGGAATTGGCCATATGTTCTGGGGTATTGTTCTACTAAAAGACCCATCAATTATACATTTCTTAATTTATTAGTAGCAGGAAACATTTGTTTAAATTCCCCTGGTATTTTCAGAGGTTTATGACATGGATGACAAGAATACCAGAGAGAGAACCATGATATCATAAATCTTTCACTGCTCTTAGCAGTGGAAACAAATGTGCAGTTTAAACATTTTCCTCTTTTGTTTTGACACCAAACCTACCCATAACGTTTGAAGTTAAAAAGTTTAGTCTTAGAAAAAATGCATATGCATAATGTAAATAATGTACCATTAAGCCCATACACTTAAGCAGCTTCTCTTCCTTGACATAAAAAACTATAGTGATTTTAGTACCCTTGTTTATTGTGTGACATTTCCCTTTCAAGGTTTATAAAAAGATTTTGAATAACTTGAGCCAACAGCACAAGTTATTGCAGTGGTCATTTCCATTTTTTATTTCTTGCCTGAAACCTTTTAAAAAGATCATTACATTTGGTTAAAAACATATGAGAAAAAGAAATGGAAATTGTTTTGACATATTAGTCTTAAGTGGGGTGCTTTTTACATGAGCGCAACATTCTGTCTTAAGTGTAGGCTTATTGTCATGGCAACAAGCACTTTGGTTTTGCAACCCTGTTCAGCTTGTTTTGTTTCCTCCTCTGTGGAGTGATGAAACTGATATGAGAATTAACTTATCTTTTTAATGTTGAAACTCAGGTGCACTAGCTTCCTATTATCTTTCATCTCAAATTATTTAAACAAACTATGCATTCTAAGCACTAAAGGAAATTTAAGGCACATTCACTCAGTAGCCATCCTGCTCACCTATCATAAACAAGGATCAGTTGAGATTAGTGAACGATTTAAAGCTAAACTTGTAACATCTCCAACATTAAGGCAAGCCCAAGTAGAATCAAGAAATAAGGCGTGAAATGATTCGGCCAACTCCTTTTGTTTTAGGCTTTTAATCTTCCCTGTTTTTGTAGGTGACAATCTTGGTGGACGGGATCCTCACCACCACCGGCTACACCCAGGAGGACTACACTATGCTGGGTTCTGATGATCTTTTCTATATAGGAGGCAGCCTGAACACAGCCGACCTGCCGGGCTCCCCGGTCAGCAACAACTTCATGGGCTGTCTGAAGGATGTGAGTACTACTTGACCTCTCATTGTGGCCTGCAAATATTATCTAAACCTCACTTGTTAGTAACGCCTCATCCTAGAGCGGAGTGTATTGAAAAACCTGCTCTTGTGTTTGTACTGATTCTGTTGTTGTAGGGTATTTGAAGGAGAAGCTTTCAGTAGAGAGGCAGCCCCGTGCACTTATGGATTCCTCTGGGAAACCCTTTGAGAATTTTAAACTAATATACATAAGAAACAATGCTATCTGATGTTCAGTCCTGACACACAGACCACACTTACTTTTCATCAGTACTTCCACATTTCTGAAGCATTTTCACTCCTGCCTGCACTTGTCACATTGATTTTTTTTTTCCAAAGAAGACTGAATCATGCACTTTGCATGAAAAGCACTGAAAAGTCATATGAAAAAATGAGTCCTCTTACAGATTTCTGTTGTTTTTGCTTTCTCCTCAGACTTAAATGTGTCCAGATTATCGGATTAATAATATTAGACAAAGATAACCTGAATAACGAACCAGAGCTGCATTTTTTAAATGGGTGATTTGATTTATTAGGAGTTAAAGCTATTCAAACTATTCTGGGTAAAAATGGAATTGGCCCCTTAAATATAATGAATGACTGTGCCCCTATTGGGAAACAACTGCAATCAAAGATTGGCTATAACTAGCAATGAGTCTTTTACATTACTGTCAGGAAAATGTGGCCAACTTATTTGCAGAATCTTTTTTATTCGTAGTAGGCACCCGTCCTTTATTCTATATCTTATTTTAAAGCAAGGGTCCCATACATTTCTTGCACCGTTTAGGTTTACAAGAAAGATTTAATACCCCTCCTAGTGTAACTGTTTAATTTTTAATTTTATTGTGTAACATATTCAATATTGCTATCAATAATAAAATAAACTATAAAAAATTTTTTTTTACTCAATTCATTGCTGCCGATTTCTCCCTTCAGTAGACTGGGATCCCCCTGGGGGATGTGCTCCCCACTTTCGGAACCATTGTTCCGGAGGTATATTTCCTGAAGAACAGAATGATCAAAAAAGGGAAAGCAACAGTAGTCTACTAATTTTTCCACTGACAGTATGTGTCTTAACTATCTAATAGCAATGCAGCCCCAGTTGATCGCTGCACCACCACCAGGACTGTAATCATAATGGTCTTAATCTGAAAAGCTGTGTTTCACACCATATGTGAGTTAATGCACAGCTTATTAAAAGTCCCATGTTTTTCTCTAACGATAATGTTTCAGTATTTTGGGGATCAGCAAGATGATTTTGGGGAAAAGAAAAGAAAAACTTGCCATTTTTTGTTTGTTTTTTACGTTAGATTTGCCCTATGCAGGCCACTTTGCCCTATGCAGGCCCAGATTCAATGAACGCTGACCCTTACTTAGACCACTCAGTATTGCAGTGCTTTTGTTGTTCTGATTTTCTATTGTGGCCTCTCTACATTTCCATTTAATAGTTCCTTGTGTGGTTAACTGGAATCCCAAAGGCTTAGAAATAGCTTTGTCCTTCTTTCCTGACAGATGTTGCTATGGTTCTCATCATTTGATAACTGCATGTTGTACTTAGTCATATTTTTCTGATATAAAAAAAAATGCAAAAACAGAACTGCTTTGTCATTGCTATGTGGTTAAATGCAGTGTTGATAAGCTACTTTAAGCTGTATTGATGTGCATAATTAATTAACCTCTGTCAAAATTTAGTCTGGAGGACAAATTCTGTCCTTCCCATCGAGCTACTTTAAGAAACTTTTTGGTATTTTAGGTCAAGTTTTCTTTGTCCTCAGTTGAAAAGAAATAGGACTATTTTTAAGGATTAGATGGAAAATTTATGTTCTTAAGGATAATGTTTGTTTTTAGTGACATTGAAATCTAAATAGTCGTCTAGTCAGTGATAGTTGAAGAATAAAAGAGACAAATAAATAAATATAAAACCGATAAATTCGAACTACTTTTGCCTTCTATTATGGCTACGTAGAAGTTAAATTTTTATGCTGTAGGATATAATTTCAAAGTTCATTTGAAATGTATATGTATATTTTTAAAGGCATTTATGACCTAAAATTTCAGAATTTCCATTTACTTCTCACAAATTAACCAACATAACAAGAAAGAAACAGCCAATACTAACTTTGGTCACACCGGCTGTTGACTCTTCTTAGAAACGCCTGTGCTGTTACTGTGGTGGCTCTGTCTGGACAGAAGAAAGTTTTTTCAGAACCACTTTTCTGCCCCAAAAGTGGTTCTGTCTTCTCCTTCTGTACCCAGAGTCTGCTAGCTGTTATTTCTAAATTAGTTGATTTAATTATGCTTTCCCATTTTGATTTCAGACAAATGTTAGGTGACTCAAGTCTAGGGCAAAACGTCTCACTAGATACATTGGTTCCCCGTTCATCTCTTTGGGTCTCTCCAATCATAGCAGAGCTCTCTGCAGAACATGCCTCTGGGAGGGGAGCGATCATGAGAGCTAATCACTCAATCAGAAGAGGACTTAGGGTAATACCAGAGGTACAACACTTAAAGCTACAGTGTGTAACTTTTAGCGACGTCTAGCGGTCAGACTGCAGAC